CACACACACACACACACACACACACACACACACACACACACACACACACCTTATATAACAGGCTGCCCTGAATGAGTTATTAAGGCCGCTTTATTAGAGCGAGGCAGGTGAGTTATGAAACCCTCCCACTGTGTGTGTGTGTGTGTGTGTGTGTGTGTCAGAGAAATGATAAACACGGCACAGACGGGAATAAAAAGCTAGAAAGACAATGACTGTGCGATAGAGGGAGAGAGCAGTAGAAGGGTGAGAGGAGGTGGAATGCTCACTTTGTAGGCCAGTGTGTCACTGCTGCTGAGGAGGAAGAGGAAGACACACACACACGCACATGCACACACACACACACACACACACACACACACACACACACACACACACACACGTCTGGAGGCTGCCACCCATTATCCCTGTGCTGGTCATACTATAGCCTGTTACATAAGCTCTTGTTAGCAGCATTCAGAACACGGTGTGTACTTTCAGCCTCGGATCAACGTCTAAGAAATCTGACCTACTCAAAAAAACAAAACACCCAGACCTTTACATCAGACTACACACAGGCATTTCACTGTGTCTGAATCCGTTGGTGCATCAGCAGATTCAGAGTTTGTCGTAGCTTTAACTGCATGCTGACCTCAAAGAAGAGGATTGTAAGATTCAAATGTATTACGTCGTTTACTTTAAATTAAAGAAGGGGTTTGTAGACGTCGACACGAATAGACGTTCTGCCACCTGTGATGTATTTTCAACATCATTTCTGTTCGGTAGCTTCATGTCGACATGGAGCACAACAGCAGGGGACGAGTTACATATTTCGGCTTGAACTTCAATGAGTGAAGCATTCAGACGATGATAGTGTCACATCCGACTCACAGTCTCCACAGAGCTGCAGCTCTCGCCCTCTGGGAGAAGACTCAGGTCCCCCAGAGCAGGCTGAACCCTTATAATACACACACATTCTTGCCTTTGTTCATTACAATTCTCAACAGGTAACACAGGACGTCGGCCATGGGGGCTGCGTGGCGTCGTATGTTTTTAACGACCGTGGCACAACAGGCCCTAAGAGGACATTAAAAGTATGTCTTATCTTAGCAGAGGGATTAAAAAAAACAATAGAGTTAGAGATGAACTCTTATGGGGATCTATAATCTGTAAGACTAAACAAACCTGAGGAATGAGAGAACGAGCAGAAGAAGAAGCAGAGAAGGAAAAGGAGGGGGGAACAAAGGGAAGGGGCATCGTGCAGCGCCGAGATGAGGAAAAAAAGAAGCCATCCCCCAACAAAGAGAACTTAAAAGAGGAGGATATTTATATTGAAGGAGAACAAAGAAAGCAGTTGTATGATCCAACAGGGGGGAAGCAGAGAGATCTAAAACCCTGAGACGTTTAGAGAAGTGGGAATTAGAGCCATGTGGCCGGACTGGCAAAGCCGCATCCTCTGAGCTGTGGCGTTATGAAAGCAGCCCGGCTACACGTGTTCTCGGCGCTCGGCCCGAGCCGCCACTGGTCTGAAACTGTACAGGTTGTTCCTGCCCGGCATGCCAAGGCCAATTACAACTGAACAGCGTGTGCCAGAGAGAGAGAGAGAGAGAAAAAGAAACAGTACAACAAGATCCTTCCTGTTATATTGCACCACAGAGCAGTTCATTGTCTCACTTTCTTTTTTTAAAATAAGCGGTTCATCACTGATGGACAGATTGTACTCGCAGGAAGAACACACACACACACAGACACACACACACACACACACACACACAATTTGAGGGAGAACAGTTTGTTCTTTTAGCGTTTAGTGTCTCTTTTCACAACCAGCCAAACACCCGGAGCAATCCCAAGAGTTACGAGCGTATATTGTGGACATTTGTTATATTTTTCATGCAGGATCCATGTGAATGCTTCTCTAAACAGATGCCAACACGGTGAGACGCAGACACGGCGGAACACGGTGCACCCTGAGCAAAACCTAAACCGACGACGACGTGTTTTTTCAGGATAGAAAAATAGATAAATCTAAATAATGATCTGAGGATCTTTTCAGAAACATTTTTGTTTGCACGGTTGTTTTCTTGTCATGTCATCGTTAGCCCTGGGCTAAATGATCTTCCACTGCTTTTGTAACCTTCAGTAATATGTGTTTCATCATCTCGTCTCTGTACTCCGGCACAATGGATTTAAAATGGAACAATTACTGCTAGTGTTGACTTATAGCTTTAATTTGTGAGTGTTCACATCTATATTGGTGGGAACACTGGAGGACATTTAAGACGAGGCAACAGGAAAACGATACTAAACATTGAGAGTTTATTAGGGCCAAACTTCAGTCACGACTTTAATCCACCTGACTTTATGTTTCACCTTCTGAGGGTCTGTGAGTTGGAGGTATTGGACGGTCAACTTACAACAGACTTTATTCTGTTTATGTTAACATGTCCATGTAGTTGAGTGCCCTAAAATTGGCAGACGGTGCATAAAAAGGCCTGTAATTCTCGCACCCATCAATTAAAGCTAAAAGTCAGCTGTTTGAACTTTAACTTTAAATCCAATGTGCAGAAACAGTAGAAGGAATGACAGACTACACTTTACAGTAAGAAGACATCAGCAAAATTCATGCCATAAATTCATGGCACAAATCACTTCATAGAGCATTCAAATATTTAACTTTTTAGTGGTACTGTCTTTCTTTAGGTTTTGCTGATCTTTGCGGAGTGAAAATATGAATAAATGAAGCATATCACATAAAAAGAAAGCCCTTTATAGATTTTACTTTCATCCATCCAGACAGACTGCGGCGACGCTCTGTCCCCGCCTGCCTCCTCACACGTTCATCCCCCCTAACACGCTGGTCGGATGAACCATATGTTTTCCTGCCTCCACATGCTCACACTTCCAGCATGGCCCAATCCTAGCCGGGTCCACCAATCACGCAACGGCATTGGTTTAGGTAACCGTAGAGACAGCCAATGGGAGACGCGGGTCTGAGACAACAACCAGAGAGAGAGAGAGAGAGAGAGAAAGAGAGAGAGAGAGAGAGAGAGAGAGAGGGGGCTGGGCACGCGTGGGAGAGATGGAGGATGGAGGGAGGGATGACCGGGGGAGAAAATGGGAAGAATAGAACGGAGGGAGTGGGGAGATGGACGAACGTGAGTTAAAGGTGAGAAGATGTGAAGCGATAGAAGAGAGAGAGAGAAAACAGAGATACGAGGAGATGGATGGACCGTGCACGCTTAAGCAGGTATGGATCCGGTGTTACACAACAAGGTTAAGTAACTTGACGGGCGTCAATCAGCTACTGCACATTCTAGACACTTCTGAGATGGTTGTAAACATCAAACACCACCTCATCTGCTCATCACGTCCTCTTTTACCCACATTCATCTCCTCGCCGGATGCTGCTGGAAATCATCCTCTCATTAGATGCTTTCTCTGCAGCATTTCTTCCCGTTCTCGGCGCATCACCCGTCCCAAACCTTTCTGCATCCCCTTGTGTTTCCTCTCTACGCTACTTACAGATTTATCCAGCCATCCTTCTTATTTCTAGCAAACTTTCTAATCCTTTTTCCTCAACGGTCAGGGAATCGTCCCTTCGCCAACCCTGCCTCACGGGTCGGGGTTGAGGATGATGTCACCTACCTGCGAATGACTCCGTTTCGTCCAGGAGCAGCATGGTTATCGAGTAAAGACGAGAGTCCTTCTCAGCTTTCCTTCTTCCTCTCCTCTTTTATCTCCTGCTGTTGAAATCACAGAAAACGCTTCCCTCTTTCAAGGATAAAGAACTTTCAAAATAAGCAAAGCGGGAGGCGTGTTTCTCCTCTCCTCAGCCTTGTTTTGAACCCGGCCAGTCTTTGGTGACTGACTGCCTCACTGACTACTAGCCGACCGCTCTGTGTGCTCCTCTCTGGTAAAATGCAATGAGAGTGTGAGGCAGGGGCATGCAGGAGGGTTGGCAGTTGAAAAACTTACATAACCCTTCGTGCTGAAGCCGGGGCCCCATTGAGGGGGGACTCGTACGGCCGATCGTCCCTTATCCCCTCCCCTTTCTAAAAACACACCCAGGAACACAGAGCATGTACGGAAGCAGCCGCCCACACATTCATGCGGCCTGTTTGTGTGTTTGTTGGTCAGTAAATAAATACATTAAAGTACACACACAACTAAATTAGAAAGTATTAATATGTGTCCGATATTAACAGTACTCTTATTTCACACTGCAACACAAATTATGGGATGAAGAATTTGGTTGTTTTAAGTGCTATGTCAATCTAATAGCCTCCTTCCTCTCACACATGGACGCTTGTAAATGACAGGGGGTGGGGGGGCTCTGTTGACCAGACGACAGCTTGTACGTGTGTGTGTCTGTGAAGCAGAATGAAGGGCACAGAGGAGGAATGTGGTTGAAGAAATGTGTGTCAAGGTCCCTGAAAAACCCCGGCTCACTAACTCAAGTCATAAAAGTTACATGATCCATGCAGAACCGTTCTCTAATACTTGGTGGTTATCCTGCAGCTAAGCTTAGCTTTTATTCAGCAAACGCTGTTTTTTAAAAGGTAATTTGCTCTTAATTTTGTCTTGGATCTCATGTGTCAAACAACGGCTTTTAAAAAGCAAAATGCTCACAACTGTTTCCTTCACTTGTTACGAAACGAGACCTACGCCAGTTAAGGCCTTTTCTCACTGGACAAAAACAACAACCTCTAATTCTCAGCTCTGATCAGCATTGATGTGAAGATGACAGACGCCTCTCTTCGTCATCTCACACGTTAAACACGATTCACCACAAAAAACAACAAACAGAGAGGCTCTTCTACTGGTAATGTCAATGTGCCTGTGTATATGTATGTATATGTGAAACATAGTTTTCTAAAGCAAAACTACTAAACCATATATTCACTTGCACATCTGGAGTTACTTTAGCACCAGCCTAGAATCACAAAATGTACATTTTTGTACAATCCTTGTTTGTAAAAGTCTCACACGAACTTTGTGGTGTTTTATGTTTGCTTGTTAAAATAAATAAGCAGAAGTATAACAGCACACTGACAACTGTACGTCCATCCAAAGGGAGTACAATATGTCCAGAGGCAAATTTGTCGGATTTCTGCTGCTAATTAATCCAATTTGTTACAGTTTTCCACAGAGCTGAAGGAGCACTGTTATGAAGGGTTACAGGAAACACTTCACCCTGGATTAAATGGCTCATTGCTCCAACACTAGAGGCTACTTTCAGCGGCAACAACTGATTTTGAATGGAATAACAGAGATCACACTAAATTCAGGCTTCTTCTAGAAACAGCAGCCCAAGTCGTCATGCCAGTGTCTGCTTAAAAGGGGACAATTCACCCACATGAATTGAGTTTTATCCACATAAAATGCCACTAAAGTTGTTGTGAATCGAGATAAGGATACAGTTTTTGGGAACAAGGACAACTACTGCATCCATTTCATAACACACCTTATGAAACCTCCGAGCTCTGCTCTGCCTGAGTAGCCCGGGCCACAGACATGGCACGGCGCTACATATAGGTCAGTGTGATAGCTGTGCCGGCATACATGCACTTATAAGAAGACATAAGAAGAGATTTCAGGACTAAGAGAGGTGACAAGAAACCTACCCCCCAAAAAAAACAAAAAACTGCCAACTAACAAGGGAAGCAGTCACACACTGAACAAGTGAGTCAAAAAAGAATTTAAGCTACTCACCCATGTCATGTGGCTGAGAGCTGCTTTTGATTCCTACTCTGGTGAGAGATCCATGCCTCCTCTACACTTTCAATGTTAGAAACTCACTCCGGCTCTTACGTGCTCCTCCTTCGTGCCGCTGACACTATCAGTGTCCCGTCCAAACCGTGTGAGTGTGTGTGTATGTGTGCGAGGCTCTCAACATCCAGCTCTAGTGTCGTCTCGCAGCTTTACCGGCACTCCAGTGAGGACAGAAGACCATTGGGACAATTACAAAACAATGAGTCGCTGAAAAGCTGCCCCGGCCTGTCGTGTGTAGGAAACCCCCCCCTCCTTGTGCTGGTTTTCACGTCTACTTCCTCCTCCTCCCTCTCTTTCTCCCCTCCCCATGGCCAACTGACACAGGAGTGTGTGTGTGATGTCAGCAAGCCACGCCCCCTCTAGGGAAGCTGCCTTAGGTAACAGGTTTAATGGTGTTAAAGCAGGAAGAGATGGACGAGCAAAGAGACGGAAAGAGGCTGAGAGGAAGAGCGTTTACTACAACATCTGGACGTGTTGATTTGTGGTAATTTTCGCTGGAATCTTGTGAAGATCACGACTTCTCTTTTAACAACAACACATTCGAAATAATATCAAATCCCTTCAAGACGGACTGAAATTTGAGTGTATGAAGATAAAACTGTGTGGAAATGAGGAAGAGGAGAAGATATAATGACTGAAAGAGAAAGAGGAAGGTATTAACCGGCCAAAGCATCATTATATTAACAAAAGAAATCAATCAAAATATGAATCCCAACTTTAATCACCATCATTAGTCTGGACAGACTGACACATGTATAGAATAACTATACTCTAGGTCGCTCATAGCAAGTCGTGTCCACTTTAAACTATGGTAAGTATGTTGACAGAGCTCTGCAGTACAAGTGAATTCGACTGCTTCTTTGTGAAGCTTAGAATGTGAAATCAATAACTGTTGAGACGAAGTCAGAGAGTAGATTCAGCTCAACGTTTCAGCGTCAGTTTGTGGTGTTGTGATGGCCTGTAAATGCCTTATATGTTGTAAAACGCTCCTTTTATTTAGTCTACAACTTACATTTAGCAAAAATATCCAAAATAAAATGAGTCCATTTTGGCTCAGTTTCCTGAGTATAGTGAACAGGAATTCTCACCTAAATTAAAATTGATTCAAATCAAATTTGTCACATTTTTGGAGTCTTTAATGTTAAAAAAGGCTTTATTTCTCTCAGCAGGCAACAGTTACTTTGCAAATATAGATCTGAGATCAGTCCACACCTGGCATTAAAATGAAAAAAGATGAATTAAGTCATGTGCTCCTTAAACCTAAAACACTCGTTTGGCTTCGCAGGACAGTGTCACACATCGTAAACGCCAATAAACACGTCAATGTGAATACCAGCAACACAGAGTGTGGCAAGAGGAATTACAGAGAATTACGGAGAGTATATCCAATAAAAATTGGAAACTGGAGATGACCACGGTGAGGAAGTGGAAGAGGAAATGCATGAAAGACGAGAGGAAGACACAGAAAAGAGGAGCGATAAGCTTGGAGAACAAGAAAGGAAGGATGCAAAAGATCGATGAAAGAGTGGAAATTAAATAGTAAGCTACGGATAAAAAAAAAACAGTCGAACAGATGAAATGATGAAGTCAATGATCAAAAAACAATCAGGAGGAGAGAAAAAAATCAAAACAATCCTGTGAACTTCAGGACTCCTTTAAACCCTCGGTGGTGGTGTGGGATCATCCTCACAGATCACTTTACACACACTTGAAGGTGAGAGCCCAGCCCCACATGGCTGCACACACTAACCCACATTGCTGTGGAGCCTGGGGGAGGAGCAGCGCAGTGAGAAACACTGAGGCGGGGGGGAGGAGGTGAGAGGAGGCGGTGACAGCAGCAATGTGAAGCAGAGGACTGCCTGGCTCAGCATCAACACACACACACACACACACACACACACACACACACACACACACACACCTTTGCCCCACTACCACAGTTCTCCATCCAGCCACGCCTCCCTCCTGTGAGGAAGCAAGGCTCACATTTCACTGTTTACATAACCTACACTGACCAATAGAGCGAGAGAGAGAGAGAGAGAGAGCGAGAGAGATGGCATTTTGAGTCACAGTATTTTGTATTCTTGTGCACTGCTTCAGAAGAAGAATTCAGATCCTTTACTTGACTTATAGTAATGAAATGTATTGTGTGTGGATTTGCGACACAGACCAAAGTTGTTTCTGCAAATACCTGTAAGAAAGTAACTGCAGCAAAGACGTGTGAAACTGCCATTTTGTGAACACATGTTTGGCTGAAAAGTGGACGAGACCCTTAAAGACATAAAAATATCATTAAGCTTATCACCTGAGGCATCACCGTCCAATATAGTGTGCAGTGTGCACGTCCTTCAGCCAATCAGATCCATTCCCTGTAACGAGCAACGACGCAGCATCAAACTGTAACATCTCTGTGTGTCTTTTGCCGCTATAAACACTTCACATATGCTGCTGCTGCTTTTATTTTAAATGATGAAACACATGCTGCCTGCAGAGCAACATGGGATCAGATTGAGGTTGTATTGGGCATCTGTCAGGTTTGAATGTGTGTGTAGAGGGTGTCCCTGAAGAAAGTGTAAAATGTGTAGATAGTATGTGTCAATACTACTGCTTCTATTTCTATTGTTTCAGTTATTAAAGCAGTTAGAGGACACACAGGAGCTCTGGTTCACATTTACCCGTGACATCTTTGAATCCAACATAACAAACAATACAAGGTTAATGAAGCTTTAGATATACTTGAGGAAATACTTGTAGTTCAGCAGCTGTTCTGCAGATATAAAATGAAAGTGTAGTTTTTTTTCTGAGCACTATAAGGTCTTTTTTATGCTGGTTTAACAGAATCAGAGGTTCAAATGACTTCCTTGTGCTTATTTCCTTTCAACAAGTGAAGGATTTTTCGGCTGTTTTTTGGTGTGAACGACAGCCGTACCACTGACCACAGTCATGAAATATAATTGTGTTCTAAAGATTGCTAAAATGATTTAAAAGCTCCAGATTTATTGAGGATCATGACATGGTAGGCGTATTAAATCCAAAGCTTTTTAGCTGAGTAATTAGTGTTTGCATTGCCTGCAAACATTTGGGTTTTGTAAAGATGTTATCTGCCCCGTGTCATTTATTTCCCTCCTCTTTCTTTTCTGAGTACCAGATATGTGTCTGATGTCCGTCTCTGAAAACTCTCAGATAAGGGATTCTCCTCTCCTGACCGATCACCATCTGATAATAAATGAACTCATGTCGATCACACAAGTGGGACTCCACAGTGTGAGAGACGTGGAAATGAGTTCTGGTTATGAGATCCACGGCTAACTCATGGTTCAAGTCAAAGATGACTGGTGGTTAGACTGATGAGTTATTCCAACTATTCAAACCTGGTTTGTCGAGTCACAACCTCACCTGATCTGAAGTCCTCACACACACACACACACACACACACACGCACACACACACATACACACACACAGAGTATCGAAGCTGACTGCAGCGAGCATATTTTAATGGATGGTAAATAAAGAGAATCACATTTTTGTCTGAACTCGACTGTTTAGTTCACCTCATCCTGCTGGTGTTGTGTCTCTGCTCTCCTTTCTGTCTGATTGGTGGTTTAATGCTGCGTTCTAGAAGCTCAAAGGCCGGGGTTTTCCAAAGTTGAAATGTCCAACCTCCGAGTGTACTGTAAGTGCTCTCTGCAGGCGTGTGTCTGTATTCTACTGAAGAACATTTGTGAGGGAAGTACGTCCACTTTGTAACTCAGCTGAACAAGACCCTCTGTAGTTCAGACAACTGCAACAGCTGATCCTGTTCTGACAGTTAAACCTTCAGAACCAGGACCTTCAGGATTTGGATCAAGTAACGGTGTGTCATAGTAAGTATACAGCTGATATCTCAGTGTGTCAGTTAACATTTTAGGTAAATATAAGTAGCCTATTGGATAGGACTTGGGCTCCGGGCAAAAAAAATATTGTTCAATATATACTCAACTGCCTGGTGTTCCACCGGTGCAGTATCGATGGAAGTTGGCAAGGTGATGCATCTTGCCGCTGATTAAACCAACAGGTGTCTGTGGCATTCCTGGGAGTAAACATGTTTACTTGTTTTTCTTGAGAGAGAGAGAGAGAGAGAGAGAGAGAGAGAGAGAGAGAGAGAGAGAGAGAGAGTCTACTCCGCTTGCCCACGCCTAAACACAGGCGGGGGAGCAACAGGCTAATTAACGGACTATTACTCTGCTGCTCTCTGGAGTCAGTGCATGTGTGTTTGTATATATGTGTGTGTGTGTGTGCGTGTGGGTCTTATGAAAGATGTGACTAAACCTCATGACAGCCTCATCTGAGCTCAGAGAGCTAATAACATGTAGCACACACACACACCTCAGGCTGTTTACACACAGAATCTTCACACCTCCCCGACTTCATTTCTCATTGTCAGTTTTTGACGAATAGCCTCACTCACTCACACACTCTCACACACACACACACACTATTGTCTGACGATGATTTAGACTCCTACTCCAGTCATGCATCTCAAGTTGCTGCTCGGACCGTTAACAATGAGCAGTGAATGGTAAAGGAAGTCTTGGATTTCCTAAATTCAACCAGCTTTTAATTTTAAAAGATGCAGAGGTGACAACATTTTAGTTTGTTTCCTCAAATTGGGACAAATGAAATGATCCGAAGAAGCACTCAACATGCTCCAACTAGTACAAAAAGTACTAAATGTGTCACTCCCCTTTTGGCATCACTACACTGATGTACAGATTAACTTTAAGAGGCTCCTCATGAGCCAATCTGGCTCTGCCAAAATCACATTAAAATTCCTAAAAAACTCATATTGAGTGATTAGCTAAATGTGTATGACGTGTTTTTGTTATGCTTGAGAACATTTTTTATTTTTATCTTGAGTCCGTTAGACTGATTTCTGT